GCAATAAAACGGCTCAAAATATCCCCAATTTAAAGCGGATTTCCATTAAATTATAGTCAATGTAAGATTGCAGAGCAGCTATAGCACTCGGGCACTGTTTCCCCCCTCATTTCTCTTATAAATCAAATATCCAACACCTGTTTGTGACCATGATCTTCCGAGAAATTCAGGTTCGGTTACTTATCAGATGGAGTGGCAGCAGATTATCTGCGATAATATTTCCTGAAAATATTTGATTTTATCTAGCTGACTATTTTTTTCTTTTCAAATTTATCCTGTTAATTACACATAACAACACTCCTGAGTATGTAGAAATATAGCACATAATTATCATGCAATTGAAACTTTCAAAATAATGAATTGCAAGACAAGTTATTTGAATTGATGAAAGCCCATTTGAAGTTATATAAAAATTCAAAGAAAATAATTCTCTTTTGCGATTTCTACTCAATACGGAAGTAAATGGAAGTACATTAGCTTCATTTACAGCCCAATTTTACCACATATATAATTATAAGCAGGCCCAATTATTCAAAGCATATTGTCAATGATTAAAGCCAGCAAAGCCTCGTCCTTCCAATGCCTTCCATGTTTTACTAGCCCCTCCTCTTATCACCACATTTCATAACTTCTGATCCACTTCTTGTTTTCCTCCTTTTCATCTTATCCCTCCGTTAATCCTTCCGTCTACTAATCCCTTCCTTTCTTCATTATCTCTCCTTTTTCCTGTTTCTCCGTCACTCATCTTGAAATACTTGCTCATCCACCTCTCATCTTTGTGCACTTCTTTCTTTGTTCAAAATTTCTTCTTTTTCTTCCTCTTCTCCTTTTCTTCTTCTCTTCCTACTAATACTACTATTTCTACAACTGCTTCTACTATTACTACTTCTCCTACTGCTACCACTACTTCTAATCCTACTACTACTACTACTACTACTACTACTAGCCTACTTCTAGTCTACTAATACTACCATTACTACTACTACTACTACTACTACTACTACTACTACTACTACTACTGCTTCTACTACTACTACTACTTCTACTTCTGCTTCTACTACTACTACAACTACTACTAACTACTACTACTACTAATACTACTAATTCTACTTCTACTACTATTTCTACTACTGCTTCTACTTCTAATTCTACTACTTCTGCTTCTACTACTACTACTACTACTACTACTACTACTACTAATACTAATACTACTACTACTACTACTATACTACTACTACTACTACTACTACTACTACTACTACTATTACTACTACTACTACTACTACTACTACTACTACTATACTATACTACTACTACTACTACTGGTACTACTTCCGCTACTACTTCTATTACCACTTCTACTACTACTACTTCTACTTCTTTTAGTACTTCTACTACTACTACTGCTGCTGCTGCTACTTCTACTACTTTACTACTACTACTTCTCCAACTACTTCTACTTTTACTACTACTACTACTAGTACTACTACTACTACTACTACTACTACTACCACTATTTCTTCTACTACTACTATAGGTTTTCCCGGCCAAATTCGTAAAAGCAGCAGTCAATTTAATTAACGTGCATTCATGTTCGAGCAAATTTTCTCCACTCGTTGCGCCCCTGTTTCATTTTTAAACTTGTTGCATTCAATTTCGTTTCGAGTCACCGAATTTTCTAAACATGCACATTCAAATTAAAGCTTGGTTCAGTCAATTTGGAAATGCGTAAGGGTCATTCAATTTCGCCAATGTTGAGTGGGAGGTGAATTCTTTGGCGAATTGCGGTTTCATATTCATCTATGGGCAACCTCTTTCGCAATCGGGTCATTCAAATTAGAACTAGACCTCATAATCAAAGTATGAGGCTGGATGTTCATTCGGATATTCAGTATTTCATGTTCATTTATTTATTCTTTTTCTCTATGATCTTTTCTGACATGATTTCACATTATACAATCTTCTTATTTGTCTGATATATTTATATTGCATTTAATGTTTCTCTTTTTTCGACATTCTTTATTTTTGTTGAAACATCTCTTTATTCATATCTTCATATTTTGAACTGCTTTTTAATGGTTTGTTTTGATCAATCTTGATAGTAGGTGATCTTTCTTTCTTTTCATTTAACTTTTCTTTATTCATCATTGTATTTTGTTTTCATCATTTCCATGTCTATTAAACCTGAACTCTACCTACAAGATCTATTTATATATAGCTTGTGCTTAGAAGAGAATTCACAAATTGTGCACCTTCTCTGGGGACAGTACCTGTGCAATGACAGAACGAATACGCATGTTATTCCTCCAAGTAAACTTTGCATAAAACTTTTCAAACAGAAGTATATTAAGTGACAAATTAACATCAAATGAAAAGCAATGCACAAATATCACATATGAATGCCTAATCACGAAACTGAATGCATGAAGACATACCACCGTCTGTCCGGCGCGAATTCGAATGCTCTTTGCACGCTTTTCTAAATTGAATGCTCGTTTTGCACGTCTCCGTGGCAAGAATATAAAATCGCATGCTACTAAATCAAATTGAATGACGCAATTAGCTTTTTGAATGTTGATCTACATAGTCATTCAATTTCGCACGAACTTGAATGAACGTAACATTAATTCGGATGCTAAGTTTACGAAGTTGGGCGGGAAAACCTATAATACTACTACTACTGCTACTAATACTTTTACTACTATTTCTACTACTTCTCCAACTACTTCTACTACTACTTTTACAACAAATTCTTCTACTACTACTACTTCTACTACTACTATTGGCTCTTCTGCCTAACCCTGGTTCCTAATCCACTTTATTTCTTCATCATCATCATCATCATTATGCTTAGTTCATTGTTTGTTAACCTTATCTCTTGATCTTTCTTCTCTAACGCATGACAACTACAAATAAATATATATATTTTTAGTTAGAAATAATGCAGAAAGAAGTAAAGAAACAAGATTATCATTGGCTTTCATACAGGTGGTCAGTTTTAATGATTTCATTCCATGTAGAATCTGTACAGTTATGTTTCTGAGAAAATACGACACGCGAGATTGAAGACACAAACATTGTCAATCTGTACGATAAATTTCAAAGGTTCAAATATCACAAGACGTTCCTGAATTAATTTCCAAGATTTTAATCTAGTTAACTTAGCAAAATGCAGTGGTATGAAGAGATGCGTCCGGAACGCAAAATTGTCAGTGATGCTTGTTAATCAAAATTTCTTTTTTGACATAGCTGTTTGAAAATTTAGCTCATATTAAGCCTCATCGAGATGGTATATGCATTTTACCAGCTCCATATCCTAATGATATCGTTCTACTGCCGTGTGATAAAAGTTGATGTTCATTAATATTGCATTTTGTGTTCCGAACATGTCTGTTCGTGCCACTCATTTCACTGAACTACCTTTTTATGACATGTGAAATAACCCAGAGTTTCTCACATAAACCATTCATTATACTCTTTTGATCCCCTGTAAAACTGCATTGCTTACTTTTTCTTCTTTATAGTTAATTCTTCAGTTGTTTATATCTTTTGAAATAGGGGCATTACTTTACCTTAGAATTGATTCACAGGAAACATTAATTTTTCACCAGAAATCACAAATATTTAAACCTTGATTTTCATTTAAGACACCATATATTTCATGGACAGTTTCACATAAAGCACGGTGCACAGCACACAGCTATCATACAGTTATCCCTTCATATTAAATCATGCATTTCATATAGAATCAATCCTACACCATCATTTCATCACTGCATGCACAATAACTCATGTTTCTTCAAAATTGCTCATGCACTGCATTAATGTACTGTGTTATGATGGCAAATTAAAGGCAAAGCAGCTTGATAAAGTAAGGTAAACAGTTTTTAATAAATCACAACTTGTCAAAAGTTAACTGATCATTAAATCTCTGTTTTGAAGAGATAGGGAAAGAGATGTCTTGTTCAGAAAAAGTAGGGACAGACGACTAAAGTCAATGCATTTTGTAGATATTGAATATCAACATTTTGTTTTAGCATAACCATAAGACATACAAGCAATGTCTCTATGTCCTTCCTGTGAGCACCGGAAATTTTGACTAATTAGTAATAACTTTAAAGATGAATCTTTGTGAGCACTACACAAGTACCAAAGATGTGGGTGGAGTGGGGGGGGGGGGGGGTGGAGGGGAAGCTACAACGTTGGCAGTTATCTTTCAAAACTTGAGAATGTGCCAAGAACTTTAGAGTTCTTGTACTAAGCACTGGTTTCAGTTTTGTTTTGCCTTTTGTTCTAATTGCTATAGCTTAGACTACGGGCTCTAAAATGCATTACCCATAATGTGCCCACACTGCATGTGTCACAGTGCTTAATCAGACAATGACAGATAATAAGCCATCTTGAAATCATCAATAAGGAATGGAAAATTAACAGATGTTTGTGTCTTTAAGACGTATCCTGCTTTTTGAAACATAAAGATAGCATAAATAAAAAAACTTCTCAAATACAGCAACAACTTATGTCTCTCAGCATGTTTCTCATTCCAAAAAAAGAAAAGGAACAAAAAAAAAAAAAGGTTATCTATTTACAAAGAGTCCTGTTTTATTTGTTACCATAGCAACAGCAGATTGGGAGTGAGGAACAGACTTCCATCAACCTTGTGACGATGTGCCAAGCACACTTCAAATTCCACCATTGGCCTTTCCTATCAACACTTTAAAATAAAAATCCCACTCAAGAGTGCAATCAGTGTCCCTCTTGCATGACTTTAAAAGTTTAGCCACAACAAAGGGATCCAGCAAAACGAAAATCATAAGACAATTTTGCACTCGTTCTACAAAAAAAATCCTTTAAAACAAGAATATATATAGAAGATGCAGATATACATGGAAAACAATTATGGAAAATGATAAAAATAATGAGCATCGGTTATTTAAACTTTACAATGTACTTGTGTAAATTGGATTTGTTAATAGTATTTCAAAAAGTTGATTGAACTTATAGCTATCCAGCTACATGAGTCTAAAACCAGAACATTATTGCTAAGTCTAATTTAAAATTGTTATCATTTGGCTTACATGCATATTAAAAGAGAGTGTATATACTCATCACTATCTTGTATGTACACATATCTTTGATATTAATCTCTCTCTCTGCAAAAGATAAATGCCAATATCGTCATAATAAGGTGTAAAAATAGTAGCTCTGTAATAATCTGTACATGCTTTAATATCTTCCACTAAAATCTATCTGAAAAAAATATCAGATGTGGTCTAAAAGTTTACACTCCACACACATTGCATAACAATCTGCTTTACAGTGTGAAACTCTCAGAGTTCAATCTTTTCTGACCAAGATTGAATGGCAAGTTTGTGTTCAGAATAAGTTTTGTTGAACAAAACTTACAAATCATACTCTACGTTCTATCTACCCTCAATAACAAAGAACAAATCAAACATGGTACCAACACAAAACTAGAAGATATAACATGATATTTTGCTTACATGTATAAACCTTGCTTAATAATGGATCTATGGGACAACTAAACAAGCAGTATTAGGTAGTATATAACAATACATTACTTTCAATACTGCACATAAAAACTGTTTACAGCATGCATTGGCAACCTCTCTAGTTTAAACTCAGAATTTCAATGCATAAATTTCTTTCATGCTTACTATAAATAATCCATGATTAATTCAAATTGGTTTACGCTGACAGACTATGGCATATTATATCCTAGTCAGAATTAACTGAGGATAAAGAGAGACCAAAACAAAAACAGGAGAGTCACCTCAAACAAACAAAACAAGTACATGCTTCTAGCATTCACGAAATCTTTACTTAATATAACACTCTATAACATATGCAGAATAAAAAAATTGGATAAGCCTTAATATAGATTTATAATTCAAACATTTTTACTATCATTTTCTTATAGTTTCACATTATTTCAATGCAATTTCATCTCCATTTTTCAAGATGGAATTCAGGATGGAAAGCTCACATACGGGAAAGCATTGTATCATCAATTGAACAGTCTACGTCATGGTTTTATTTGATTTGTTTCTACCAGAATATACACAAATTCCCCACAAGGTGGTATAATTTGTTACATTCCATGGTTGCTAGTACATTAATTCATCATTTCTCATTTACTCCTTCTATCTTTCCCCATGCACTTGGGGCATGGAGTTACAATAGCTACCAGCGCCATTTTGATAACTTTTTTCTATTTAATGTGAATATTTTTTTGCAATCTTTTTGTTTCAATAACTTTTTTGAAACTTAGAATATTTCTTCGGAATGGAAATTAGGAGCTCTAATAATTTCATATTATAATCTAGTTCTGTATCCAATTAAACTTACATCGTACCCCCTCACCTGCAATATGTCAATGATCTATTAAAGTCGACTGTATCAATACAACTGAGAGATGTAAACCAGTTACACCTATCATTTACGTTAAGGTTACAATGGCTCCCCATGGTAAGCTATCCATCCTGTTTTATTAGCTCAGTGGTAGATTCACAGCGGTGGCAAACCACCGCCGCACACTTCTTTATACATCTCACCGACCAGCGGGAGTAATCAGTCCCACTCCTTAAGTTTGGTGTTGGTTTGGAGTGGATACCTTCACGTCCTTTTACACACGGTGTCTGTGGTACACATAATGGTCACAAGGTTACGATAGGAAGTCTGTGTTGTGATGATGGTGGTGCTGCTGGAGACCATCGGGCAAGTCATCGAGGCTTGTCAGGCTCGATCGTCGGCTGCTGTGCAGGGAGGTGGCCATGGGAGACTGAGAGAGGAGCGGATCACCCGACGGAGAGTCCGCATCGCTCTGGATGTCGTCCATGTTGGGCGTGCCAGCCTCGCCCATGTAGTTGGTGGCCTCAGCCGAGAGTCCGTTGGCATAGGTACTGCCCGGGCTGTGCTGATGCTGCATGAAGACCTGGTTATCGGTCTGGAGTTGGTGCTGCTGTTGCTGTTGCTGATGATGCTGCTGTTGTTGTTGCTGATGTTGCTGCAACTGATGCTGTTGCTGCTGAGAGAGTGGTGGACATGTTCCTGGTTCCACCTTCACTTGGAAGTCAATGTCAGATCCTTGAAGACGCATGAACTCTGATGTGATAGCCTCTGTGCTTGTATCATGACTCAGAGCATCTGAGGTGACATTGAAACGCTTACATTGCATCTCAAGCTCCTGAAACAATAAGATAGAATTGGTTTAAATATTCACTCATTCAAATTCAAATCATTAACCCATTATAAGCAATTAAAGCTAATTTCACAATTTGAATGTACATCCATTCCATTTATGGCAGTCTAATATTCTTCTTCTCCCATAAATTTGCAATGTTTTGCAAGCTCTACTCACTTGTACATTCTCCAAGTTCCTACTAATAATGTCACTTGTTGGAAAAACAAGAGGCCCCATCCTCCAAACCTTTCTATTAATTACAAGTAAAATGAATCTCTTTGTCCATCACTATCTTCATCCAAGTGTGTAAACAAGGTATAAACAAGGGATTAAAAAAAAAAAAAAGGATAACCACTCTTTTGAATAAGTAAAATTAACAAAGATTTTTGACCATCATAAACGTATCACTTCAGTGCAAGTTGAATGCTACAGACTTCGGATACAGCATTGGCACTGCAAACTGAAGATTAACGCGACGAATGGTCAGAGGACCCCTTGGACTCTTCAATCACCATGGTTACCCTTTATGCCTGCCTACCTGTATCCTAAGCATCATCCTCCTATTAATGGTCTCCAACTGTTTCTGTCTGCCTTCAATTTGCTTATGCTTGGACTGGTCCTTCTGCATCTTACGGATGTAGTCTACCGATGACTTGAGGATGGTCCCCTTGTTCTGTCTCTGGTCACTGCAAAGAAATGGTTAGGTAAAGTTAACTCATGGACTGCTGAATCCCAAGGCTTAATACAGAAACCATCTGCTCTATACTGCACAGTGCTCCCAGGACAATTGCTAACCGGGTCAATTTAATACACTACCTGAATTTCAAACTTCTCAACCCTAGTAGATCCAGCACTAATCTTAACCTTAACCCTAATCTCAAAACATGACACTAACTTCATCATTGAAACACCTAGTACCCTATTAAAGGCAATTGGATTATAACAATTCAGAATAAAACCATTTTTATTTAGCAGAATTCAAAACTTATTTAATTGATTTAACCTCAATCTCCTTGAAAAAAATGATGAATTGCAGATGCATGATTTTTAAGAAAGACAAAATCCAAAATGCAATGATTGGTCCAAATATTGCCAAAATGTCTAAGTTTAATTGATAATCGAAGTCAGATTGATTGGTATGCCTTTAACCAGGATAACAGAGAGAGCTTTGTAACTAAGGGAACATACATAACATCCATGCCCAAAAGTTGCATGCAAAAGGCCCCACTGTTTCATTTTGTTTTACACAGGCATGATATTTCTTGATTTCGAAATATTTTTCTTTAAAAAATAGAAATATCGGTCAAACTCACGGGTCCAGATGTTTGGGGATGAGGGTGCCAAGTTCCTTGATGCGATCATTGATGTTGAATCTTCTCCTTCGCTCAACTGTATAAGGAAGAGGTGACAGTAACATGAAAATTTGTGCTGGACCAACGTGAATGTGTATTACGAGAGGGTATAAGAATGGAACATCTACATCAAACAGAGTTCATCTTTGGTTTAAATACACCAGCCAATATCAAGGGGTTAAATAAATGTTTGAATTTGCCTTTCAACACTTTTTTACCTTTCAATTAAGGCGGCGATATAACATATAGATTACTCATATGTAGCATGATGTGGTGGTACAGCACATTTTTTTTAGGTTAAAAAATGTTTCTCCTACAGGGATAGACACAAACAGGTGGATGACATATTTTGTAAAGACTAATTGTTGAGCTTTTGGCTGATTTTAGGTGGGAAAAATACTGTTCCTGTATGAGCGTATATATTTCTATGGCCTTCTAAAAGTTCACTAGAAACAACTGCCCTAACATTTGACTCATACGGTTAATATCAATGTATAGTATATTGAAAGGACTACATCCTACCATGTGGCAACATATTACACCCCAGTTGAGAGAGACAACTGTAGATAAAACAATTTGTCTTTAAAGTGGGACTGCACTACTTGTAGCTACATGCACCCTCTATATAGGGCAATTCCACGGTAACGGAAGGACACTCAGACAAGATTTTTGAACTTCAGGTTCATACTAAAAGAACTGTTTTATTAGTATAAGATGTGAAACAGTACAGATATAATACCTATATAAGTGCCTTTAATTCTCCCAAAAAAAATTGTCATTATAGTTAAGTAGTTTAAGAATGTGCATATTAATTATCTCGGTAACGGAAGGACATAAAAATGGACATGGTTTTTCCAGTTAATTAGTGTTTATCCAAACTTTGTGAAGTTGATGAAGCTTTCCACTTGACTGAAACACATTTTGTTCCCCATAGTTTAATACATACTAATAAAACATTTCTTTTAGTATGAACCTGAAGTTCAAAAATCTTGTCTGAGTGTCCTTCCATTACCGTGGAATTGCCCTATAGCAAACATTGCCTAAACAGTACACGTTGGTCCCCCATGATCCCCTCTTTCTCATGTTAATTGAGAGCTGCTTTGAGGAGATAACCACCTGTCAGTGACCACCCTGGGAGGTCTAATCCCTCCTGGCCAAACAAGTGCAGACAGGCTTAAACATAAATTTCAAAGAAGATCCAAACTATATTAGTCAATAGTTACTTACTCATATTGTGATTATCCTTCTTCTGTCTCTCTTTGGCATGGGCTCGGACATGTTCTTCGGGTAAGCCAACGGTTCTGTTTTGACCTGGTTCAGTTCAGGGGGGCAAGATGACGACTGCTGGTTGGTCATGTAAGGCGCCATCTTGTTGTTCGTGAAAGGGGAGTCCAGAAAGTTCTGCGTTACGGGCATCTGCGAAGATCGAGAAGGAAACCATGAGTGTGAATCTAGAGCATTAGACTTCTATTCATGCAATCAACCGACGGCATCAATGAGATGCAGGGAAGAAGCATTGTATTATTATTAGGCTATCAATATTTGATGTCTTGATGAGTCAATTGACTTTCTCTTTCGATGTAACTATATCCTCCCATGCTCCAAATAACAATAGAATGTGAGATCTTGAAGCAAGAAACCAGGAAGCTTACACAATACTCAGTCACATGATATGAACATCTAGCCATCATACTTCAAAGTGGATCATATAGATCTTTTAACAAAGGCAAACACTTACAATCTCTACATCGCGTCATAACTAATTTCTTATTCCATATACTTACAGTCATGCACTCTATTTAGAATCTACTGGCAACTTTGGTTACTATAATAATTTGCCTTGTATAATGGCTAATGCAATCTGAAATACTAAACATAGATGCATGTACCAGCTTATCTATTCGGCTTCCTGTGGATATGATTACATGGTATGGGATGTGTCTGTGATGCATGTACCATTTTTGTTTGCATTTTCACAGGTGTGCCCTCTACTTAAAGGATTATGTACAAGGGTGTGACTAGCACAGGTCAAGAGGCAACTAATGGGACGGGGACGGGGTTGGGGTAGGAATGAGAGGTATGATTCAATATTTTGAAAATAACAGTTGACTGTGCATCAATTTGGCTCAGCAGGTGAGAATGAAACATCTCTGGAAGTTGCAAGTTTAGTGAAGGAAAATCATTGTCCATTTTCAATCAGAATATTATGTATTCTGTTCATCCAAGAAACATATAACCCTAAATCAGAGATACCATCATAACTATAGGATAGATTTAAAGGATTTAAAAGGAATTCCACAATCTTATTGCAATACCTATGAATGAAATGTTGCTTTCTATTACTTTTTTAACTGATTTCCGGTTGTGCATTTTAATAGTATCCTAAGACATTCATACAGTTATCAGCATTTTATGCGGCATAAAAGATGAATTGCTTGAATTGCATTAAAACGCCTTCCGATTACATAAGGTATTCCAATTTCCCCTCCCCCTCACATACACACAAATACACACACACACCAAGTATCTGACAGCTGTTGTACTTGTGCAAACTGGAAACCCAATGTAATTAAGCTTTACAAGTATATGAAAACTGATAGCTTGCTCGCTCTGTAAATACTGTTAGAGATAAAATAACACTTAATATTATAATGATGTCAACACCAATGGCTATGACAACTCTTGATTGCAACTAATATAGTGTGTGTTATATTAAGTGGATGTGAGGCTAAACTATTCATGTCGTTTTATACAAGTTTTGGTTTCATGGTAATATAAGAGAGAGAGAGAGAGAGAGAGAGAGAGAGAGAGAGAGAGGAAGGGAGAGAGGAGGGAAGGGGGAACGGATAGAAAGGGAGAGGGAAGGAGGGAGGGAGGGAGGGAGGGAGAGGGAAGGAGAGAGAGAGAGAGAGAGAGGGGGGTGGGGGACAGAGGGAGGGAGAGAGAGGAAGAAGGAAAGAGAGGGGAAGGGAGGGAGGGAGGAAGAGCCAGAAAAACACATCTTGGCATACATGTAAACCTATTCTATAAAATGGACCAATTTAAAATGATAAAAGTTGGGTGTGTTTAAAAGAGGATTTCTTTATATTTGTGTTCATCATAAGGTTACCTTGCTTATTTGGATTTATTATTCATGGTTGAATTTCCCTTTTTTTAACAGAACAGCTATATCAATACATCATAATTTTCTAAATATCAAATAGATGTATGATTAAACAGAGTTACAATGTTAAAAACCATGCACATACAGGCACAATTACAAAACAATCCAACATAAATGTAGGATTCTCTACATTCAAATAGGGGACTTACCGTGTTAGGCATTGAGAGTTTGTTGGGGTCTTGGAAGTATTGTGTCAGAGAATCGTCTCCTAGGGCTGACTCCAAATTGATGACTTCATCCAAGATGTCATCCACCTGAACAATGATAAGAAATGATGCACATCATTAATGCAAAAACTCATCGCAGACATCAACTCTAATGTATTTGCAGATCACAACAAGTATATGTACATGTAAGTGTTACATGTGATTTTACAATGAAAAATTCCACATAATTACAAAAGTAATAGGTGTACACATCAACGCAAATGCATCATCATTAGCACAGTAGAGTAAAGGAGTTATCCCTCCTTGGTAGTATGTAGAACGCGTGACGGTGCTCATAAATTTCTCTCTCACATTTTACCTCTTTTACCTGATATGTTGAAGAGCTTTGAAATATTATACTCATAGGCATCTTCTGGCAGTCACTATCCTTCACATAATACCCTATACTATAATAATCAGGTGCCATATGCTATCGCATCAGTCGGTCACTGGAGAGTGATCTACATGTGTTCTTGGCTAATAATCTATCTGGTAAGGGGGTGGAGATTTGAGGGGAATGATATTTCAAGATTTCCTTGTAAACCCTGGTAGGCTAGGCTGGTGGCTGGCTGGCCTGGCGATTCAATCAGCGATTGTGCAGGCCTTTTCGCTGCGACCCTTTTCATGCCTCAGTAGAGACGAGATAGAAAAAGGGGGCGTCGACAGGATAATGCAAGGGAAGGAAGGAAGTAGAGAGGAAGAGCAGTAGTCGGAAATGGTGTTGGTGGTGGAAGTGGTGGAGGTTGGAGGGGTGGTAGTGGTAATAGTGGTGGAGTTGTTGTGGTGGAGGTAGTAAGGGGGGAGCAGTAGTAGTGGTAGTTAAAGTAGTTGAAATAGTAGGGCTTGTGGTGGCGGTAGTGGTATTTTTTCTGGTAGTTGTAATGTTAGTGCTGGTGGTGGTGGTACTGGTTGTGTAGGGGGTACTGGTGGTTGTAGTAGTGGTGGAAGTAGTAGTGGTGGTAGTGGTAGTGGCTGATTATTATAAAAACATCTTTCAGATATACCATCTACAACTCTCTCCACAAATTACTGGGAATACCCCATGTACGGAACAAAGGAAGTAGGAAAATAGCATAGACTTGGTGCTTGGTTGGGTAATCCCTTTGGCAGCTCACCCAGGAAGCTATACACTGCTGACACAATAGCTTCACAATTCACACCCAATGATAATCGAAGGCTAGCTGAATAATTTTAAATCCTTACTTAATTCCAAATCATCCATGGTCCTATCAATCCCAAAAAGAACACTTTACACAAAACAAACAATAACATTAAAATCTGATTCTCCAAAATCATCATATCTCTCCCTCTTCTTACCCCTCAGAGGCAATACTGTCCAATACTGCCACTGATACTGTATGGTTGGTAGCCTACCCCCTGGATAGTGGCTCGCCTGATTGACCAACTAGAACATCCGATTACAGGTCATAGCTACGCTTGCAGTATACCATAAACATGCCATCATTGTGTAAAGGAATGAGTTTATTAAAATTACAAATTTGGGGTATACTATTAATAATAATAGCAGCTTCATCCATTTTGGACCTTTTGTTTTATGATAGTAACCACTGTTCATTTTTTTCTTCTTTATATTGAATTCTGAAATAATAATTTCATGAATACCACCCCCGAAAGCACACATTGAATGTATCTTTTAAAAATTTCAACATAGATTCTAGTAATATAAAATAAGCAAAATCATATAACACTTTGATTGCTTTCTTCATCTCTTTGCATGGGTGCTCATTTGCCACATGTGCAATTTTACACAAAACAACAGGCACCAATTGATAGACATATTGCTTTGTGTAGACACAACGGGTTGCAAAATTACCCATTTTCAGTCTTGATTAGCTCAATGACAACCCTCAACACAGGAATAGATTAATCTTGCACTGGATATGGTTAAATAATATTGAATCCTTTGGTATATACAATGTGACACCGGGAGATTATTTTTTGGGGCATTCAAAGAATTAATCAAAATGTGAATTACTGTTATGCACATATGGCCCTTACACTAGCAGGTTGTAGTATTAAAGGGTGGTGGCAATAGACCAAGACCACCTGGCACCTGGAAAATATCTGATTTTTCTCATTTTTACATTTGGCTAAGGTTAACAAATAATTCTGTAAGATGAGCAGGACAATTATATAACCATGCTCTTGAAACACGAGAGACCATAAATGAGATTATTCAATTTCTTATACAAGTATACTAAAACACAAAGGAGTATGAAAATATGAAGTTAACCGATAATGCAACACATACTCTATAAGGTTTGTAAAAAGATGCACAAAGAGAAGTGATTACATAATAAAATTCACTTACTTTTTCTCCTTTCATATCCAACTACAGCTCAGATAATTTTTTTATTCCACAACTTCCTTTTGTACATATTACCGAGTGTTATGAGCAGAAAGTAGCCATTCTAATTAAATAACACTGCCAATGGCATTCCGGCACAACCCTCAATCCAAAGATCAACTCAGCTAGCCAAAAAGAGGTATGCAATATCAATTCATGAAGCAAGGGACTTTGCTCCGTAACTAAACACCAGAAATTAGATCAAGGACAGAATAAAGACTAAACAATTGTATTTGTTTTTCTTAATTTGCTTCTTTCTTCAGATTGGCATTTACAAGTTTTTGAGGTGGGTGCAGCCAAACTGTGGTAAAGTTTCAAGTTTGTTATAAATGGGACTCACAAATTTCTATGATTTGATCCAAAATTTGTATTGTAGAATTGTAGTTCAATTTTTCCCCTTTAATAATCCCAGAATATTTTAACATGTCAGTTTTATTTTGTTCCCTTTTTGGGGCCGGGGGGGGGGGGGGGGGGGGGGGGGGGGGGATTAAAGTTGAAATCTACACTTTACCTTCAAAATTATACCATGATTCTCTTTTTTTCCAAGTAATATATTAAACCTATCCAAAGAGTGATACACATTGATGATCAACAGCAGGGAACTTCACAACCCATACCAAGCACTTTAATCCATGATGACAAACTTTAAAGATAAATTAGCAAAATTAACCCGCAGCAAACAAGGTTCAATGCAGACCCTGAACTAGGCAAGGACAACTGTTTCAACAAATGCCCCCCTGAGTGTACATACTTATGCTATTGGAAAAGTGTTTTAACCTAGCTTCATGTAGAGGTCAATGATAAGGCCTATCTTGAGCATATTTGACTACGCATTACGCTGATTAATATGAGAGATAGGAATTTACTTCAAGGGAGAGTCCAAAGTTCCCTGGCAATATGTATCATATTTTGTCTATCCATTCCAGCACTTTATAGAAACAGCTCCTAAAACATTCAAGACAGTAACCTTAAAGGTAGAAAATCTCTTAAGCCAATAGCAGAAAAGGGAAAAGATATATAGAAATCAAGCGAGGAGTTTATTAAAGAAGCAATTTTAATACAAGAAGAAAGTAGTGAACAATCGAAAGGTGCAATGTACATGTACACGTGTTTTGATTCAACTATATTGCAGAGAGCAGGAAATGTCTCACAAGCATTAAGAAACAGGAAATCCCATTACAGCTTCTTTCTCTGAAAGATTTATTGTTAACAGAGGCAGAGGACAAACAGATTACTCAAAAAGAGATCTAACAAAAATTAATCATCGAGAGACAATAAAATGTTGATTGTGAGGCCAGACCAGTTTCTTGTACGTAGAGGAAGAGACTTGCATCCTCATCTTCATAACAAAGTCCTGGAGCAACTCTCCTAATGAGACTGAACCATCGGTAGCAACTGACCTATGGCCATCTACTGTCCTGGGACCCATTCCAACAGACACGGGTCAGGTCTGTTTGTGATGGCTGGCCGGAAACAGGTCGCACTGACCCATCATCTTAAACCCCCTTGCCCCCTCTCTGTCTGGCATGAATCCTGACTTACAATGTCTCCAGGTTAAGGCCACTCAAGCTTCTGTTCCTTGGTCAATCACGATTTGGTTAACTTTTACCTCAACACACTTGTTCTTAAAAACACATGTTTAATTTGTTTTGACTAAGGGTCCCCCATTTCCGTACAAGATAATATCTGAAACCCTACCATGGCCTAGCCATAGCTCCTTGATGTTGAAATTCCTTCAATATGTTTTTTCTTGTAACAATCATAAAAAATCCTGACTTTAATACTGTACTCATCTTTTGTAATGTTTACATCGGGTTTTAAGTTACACAAGAGCGGGACCAACAATAAGTTCTGAACCTTATCAAGCAACTCCCAAGTTAATAAGGGTTCAGAATAATTACTTATATTTATCTTTCGGTGCTGTTTTCTTGGGATACTGATATGGTACTGTAAGGACTGGGCATCCTGCAGTGGGGGAAATAGGCATGGACCTAGCAAGTAACCTTGAGGTACTCACCTCTTGTGATGTTGACATAGGGCTGTTGGGAACACTTGAGTGTGAACCACTGATTCTCCTGTTGTTCGGTGACTGGGAGGATGACACCATACCTCGCATGTTGTTTGGGTTGGGGTTGTTCTGGTTGGACAGGTACTGTTCCACCTGCCGTCTCTGATTCTGCTGGAGATGGAATCTGGTTGGGTTCTCCAGTTTGGTATTCACCTGCAGAAATACAGAATAATGGACATATTATAATCATCTGCTTCTCATTGAAACAAATTCAATCCCAAAAGAAAATTGATGTTCAGTAGGAATGAACAAATGGGACTGGACATATGAGAGAGAGATAACATGATGCCTCATTCCGGTTTCTTAAAATCTGTGTTTGAAGATAAGTCAGAAGGAACTTTATCAAAAGCAAGGAGCATCTGGAAAGAAAACATCAAAGAGCTGGAGCATGCACTTAATGAACACAAAATCATTCAGAAATATCACCATAAATTTGGACTGGGCTATAATACCAATATAGGGTATTTACAGATTACAAATTGGTTTTTCCACAATTGGTGAAATAGAAAGCACTTCCTATTTCTGACAAAAACAATGGGCTCTTCCTGGTTTGATCTCACTGCTCCTGTAACAAAAGACACCAGGCATGGTGGGTTGTTTTCCTATGGAATCATGAAAAAAAGACAAATATCAGTGGAAACAAAATGAATATACATATAAATACTAAGGAATGATATTCAAGGGGCAAGAACAGGGTTCTGGCTAATCTCTTGTTGTTCTGTTCTTCTGAAAATAAGAATCTGCTTTCCCCAAGGATGTTCATCTGGAATTTAAACAAAGAGATAAAGAAACTATGAATTATTATAAAAAAAGGAACTCTGTATCAAGGCACATAGACATGTTTTCATTACATTATAACAAAATAAAAGACATCTGAATGCTGGATAAATCCAGAAATTGCTTCATCAATGGACAGATCACAAAGGGTACATTGTACCAGATTGTTCGCTTTGATACAACCAAATTTTGGTTGAAAATTGATAACTTTTGGGGTATATGTATGAAAAAATTGCTACAGAGTGGTTGTGAATACTAATTATTAGCAAACAGAGTGGAGTTGATATCTCTTGGTTCGAGGTAAATTGCCATATTGATGACTACATTATACAGATAATGTGAACAAGAAAAGTATTAACGACTAATCAATTCTAATTAAGGAACATTTTAATTCTACCATCCTGTGTTAATTACTACATAATATCTACACTTAGAAAGAAACATACCAACAGATATATCCAAAATGGGTGTTTGAGAGAGGACACAAAACTTGATTGATTGTCGGATAAGAGGGGATCTATATATCATAAAATTCGCTATCAAGGTGGCAAAAGTCCCAGTCGACACAACTTTCACTTCTCATTAATGAACAAACAAAATTAATTGAAAATGAAAGGCAGGATAAAGAGACATGGGAATACAGAAGGAAGCCATGGTCCATGGAGCTCTCTATCAACGGCAGTTCCATACATCCTGTCCCCATTCATTCTTCTTCTAACAGTTAAGCGGCCCATCAAGGACACTTTGTTTACAAATTTCGTGACAAAATCAAAACATAAATTTGCAAAAGAGGTTCATAAAAGGAAATAAGAAATGTGGATGGAGGGAAGGGGAGGGAGAAAGTTTATTAGCATATCCTGTGATGCCAATTTGAATCAAAAGATCACGTCTGAAAATACGATGAAAAGCGAAATTTGATAACTGACCCCCTGAAAATTAAGGAACTGTCTTATATTAACAGGGAAGCTGTCTGATTATCGTTACTTTCCTTCCTGACCCTCTATGATATACTGTTTTTTAAGTGTTTTGGGTAACAGAAGTTTTAAAGTTTATTATGACAGTTATTGAAACTCTGGGTGTGATTCATAGTCAAAAAGGATATTTTGTATGACAATAAATTAAGATATTAAAAAAGATAAAGGGATCTAGGGATAAAAGAAACAGAAAGAGTCATTTACAAACTGAGAGAGACAGGGAAAAGACAGAGAGAGAGAGGGGGGGGGGGAGAGCTAGTGACAGGGCAATAGAAAAAGAGAAAATACAGAGAGGGGAAAGAAAGGAACATATGTATTTAAGAGGAGGAGAGAAAAGAAGAGAGAGGCAAAGACGAGGAACAGAGCAACCTAAAGGTGGGATTGACATGAAAACCTTGTCTCATGATGTGGGTGATGTTTTTTAAAGAGTAAGTGTTATTCAGCACATTTATTTCCTTCTTTATTTTATTTATTCATTTTTGACCAACATACAGGGTAAGTCACCCCCAATATGATAGAGACTCATCTTAATAATCAGCAAAACAGCAGAGTTTTAAAAAAAACAGTTAAGGAAATAACATTTCAAGACTCCTTTAGACCTCCGGACATTTGAATTGCGAGTAAGTTCTTGAGACACACAAGAAAACCAGATTATCTAATGTTGCTATCTTTGTCACCGTCTGTTCCTCTTAAAATGGATTACAAACTCTATGGGGTTAGGTGGGATGCCCTACTAAAATAATTTGGTATTATTTCTTAGCCCAGTTGTGACACACCAGGGCTTGGCAGACAATGTGTTAATCTCTCTTTTCCTGTCACAAAAACCCCAAGCTCCTTCCCCAACTTGGGTGTCTAGACCAAGAAAACTCCAAGATAAAACGGTCTTAAGTATTTAACAAAAAAATTACAGAAGTTACGAACTAGATCCATGGCTTGGTGGAGAAAGTAGACATAAAAGTAACAATGATATCTATAGTAATAAAATAAAATGTATAGATAAATGAGCCTCCTGTACCACAACGAAATAAATACTTGAAAATGTGACTTCTAAAGATTAAAGAGGTTCAAGGTGTTGAAGGGGTGGGGGTGGGGTGTATGATAAACTAACTCTCATGGTAACATTATATTCTGTAAAGAACCAGAGGAGCATTAATTCTGTACAAATTTATATGAGTTAACATCCTTCTGGCGTTAAAATAGACGATAAGGAGTAATACCAAAGTCATTAAATCTTCCTAAATGGCCCAATTACTTCATAAAATTTTATCGTAATGACCACTTCATAAAACAAGAAATCAATCCCTGTGCATGATAAATCATTCAAAGTCCAAGTACAAAGTGCCATTGTTTCTGGCGTGGAGTGTGAACCCTGAGTGAACCCCATGGTGGTAGAATACAACTTGTTTTTTCCTGTTCCCCGTAATCCCCTCATCAATGATGTGTCCCTGATCAAGTACCAGTCATCGCACTAATCGCTCCAAGCACGGTAGCACCCGGCCGCCTGCCTGCAAGGTGAGGGCGTTGGCCAGGGTTAAGGGAGGTCATCCAGACCTTGACAATCCTAATCCCATCAAACCAAGGAAGACATTGTGTGCCTTGTCAGAGGTAATATCCTCTCGGCATCCTCAGAAGATCACTTACTTGAACAGTGGCATCCATGGCCTGTATTTTTCACACTCAATTAATCGTGAGGTAAATCTCCCATGGAAATTACAACGTCACCCATGTCTGGAAAGATGTCTCATTAAGTATTTATAATAATCTGATATCAAAATATCCATACATCAATATATACTATTTATTCATCACATACGTAAGACTCATTTTGTCTCCTGGCTGGTAATGTATTCCAAAGAGAGTTTGGGATGTGGTAATATTAACCTATAAATCTACCGATCACCAAAGATTGTGTATGTGGGAAGAGGATTGTACAACTGTAACTTTATGATTCTTTGACAAGTACAATGTTTAAAACCCACTGTCGTTACTCTTTGTGAAAATTATCTCAGTAAAAATCAATCTCACCTCAACCATCTGAAAAAATCTGATACGGGAAAGTGAAAAAATTACAATTTAAGTAATTTCATAAGATGTAGACCCCAGTGATATTGCATGTTTTTTTTTGTAGAAAATTAGACTCATAAGAGAATAATTTCTATAACAGGTAGCCTTGATGAAGCTCCTTTGTTTGTCATGTTTCCTTATGGATTCTTCATCCTTCCTATGTTTGCATCAAGATTCAAAACAAATGGTGTAATATAAGCTGCCAACCCACCAACATTGCGTTTGGGATATTAAGCAACAGCACAAGGAACTTTCAATGTACCACTTTTAAGAACCAAGATACCCTGCTGAAATTTGTCCATGAAATACTACATCTTTTGCCTATCAGTTTGGTTGTTTACGAAAGAATGGTTAGTCACTGGGCCCACTTAGACGATCGAGCCCCCGTACTTTCTGAAGGACTCACTCTAACTAATCAAGGACTGGATCAAATGCTTCGCTCCTAATCTTATGTTGTGAAAAACTATAAGACTATGAGACCTCTGCCAAATGGAATTGTTGATTTGAGCAACTGTTGTAATGTTGACCCTTGTTACACTTGCCAAGTTCAGGATGGGTACTATCAACAGCATCTAGGTTTCACCAAACGCTTCCAGGGGGCGGTTTCACAAAGATCCTAAGTTGAAATTATCTCTAAGTTGGACTTAACAATTATGGGAAGCCGTTAGCATCTTTGAAAATATTTTGTAAAAGTTATTTTAAAAGGCATAAAATGTTAATTCAAATCATTCATATTTTCTATTGTCATGGAGATTTCATGCTCTTGATGTGGAATTTATGAAAAGTCTAAAATACTTTAATTGTTGCTTTTGAATATATTTTATTTTAAGGCTACACATGGCTCTCCATAATATTTAAATCCAACTTCGACTTAGGATCTTTGTGAAACATCCCCAGGATGGGTATCAACATCATCCAGGTTTCACCAAAAGCCTCCAGGACTTGCAGGATTCATCTGCTCCCCATGCACTTCTGGCTTTAGGCCAAACCATGAATTCTATGTCCTACCCTGGGTGACACAACAGCCACAATTACAAATTAAAAAAAACTAAGTTTAGATTATGTTCTACAATTTGAAGGAAAGAATCACCATTACTCATCATGATGTCTGGGTTACCTACAGCCATGGTAGATAGACAAAGAAGTACACTAGAACAGAGAGTCACAATACCCTTGCTCAAGAATACCTGATGCAACAACTGCCATCCACTAAAATCATCAAAAAGAAAAAAATTAGCATGTAGAGAAACTGTAAATCGCATTAATTAAAGAACTCCAACTGATTAGTACCTTATATCTGCTAATAGTTCTAGGCTTCCAAAAATTTCAGATCAGATT